TCATATGAGCGCCAGAAGATTAGAGGTGTTACAAGAGAGTAACAAACATAAAAAAAGAAGAGAAGATGAGAACGACAGATGTTTGATAGGTAAGAAGAAGCAAACCACACCTGAGCACCCGCCAACCACCCACAGGGAGGAGATAGGAAGAAAAGTTCGTGAACCAAAAAAAAAATGGTTTTAAGACGCGGGTGCAACAACAAAGGGCTAACGTACTCACCATTTTCAACGGTAGAGAAGAAGTCTTGATTCTCAAAGGAACAAAAGATGGACTCACAAAAACCTGTAATCAGTTCTGTGCAGTAGTTTCCCGGTCCCTGGTTCCTCTTCCTTGACTTGAAGGGTCGACGAAAGAGAGAAACTGGCTGGTGGCAGACGGCAGAAACATCCCTGGTATCATCGTTTTATACCCCGCGGCATCCTCTGTGCCCCTGTCTCTGTCGTATCTGTGGCCGCGGCGTCCTTAGTTACGGGAGACAATTGCCGACCACTCATCACGGGAACTCTCCAACTGTGACGGTTAATGGCTTGTCTGTTATGGCTACTCTAGGATTACAAAATTCTATCTGCTCAGTACTTCGTTTTGAGAAAACTGAAGTTAAAAATGTTATGAGTTTCACAAATTGACAAGCTTTTTTTAAACTGCAATTCTTTGAATATCTTGATAACGACCCCGAATAATCTGACGATTTTGATAGAGCAGATAGAACATTTGGTTTCTGACCTCATGGTCTTAGTACATGTAGCTCAAAACGGCCCAAAATGTCCAGATAGAGCTTTGTAGTTATGAACTAGCGTCCTTGGTTGGGCGTCACAGACCTGGGGTTAGAGATCAATCATTTAAACTTCCGCTTGTTATGCTCGCCATCACAGAGGACGAACTGGCGCATGTCTTGTAGTGGTTGGGTGCTTCGCTGTCGCTCGCGGGAGACCCTTGTTCCATTCCCGAGTGTGGAGAACATTTTTATCGAGTATCTCTGTTTTTCAATTTTGCAATGTTGTATTCTTCTCAACCCACAGGGTTGGCCCTGACAGGTAGGGGGCCGGCAACCCGCCTCCTAAATGATCAACGAGTGCCTAAAAATACCTACACAATAATTCACCTTTTAAAAAATTACTTACAGCCCGTTTGGAGAGCCTCTAAGGACATTCTATAGAGGGATTTCCTCAGTTTCCCTTCCTTTCTCTGTAATGTTAGGGCGTTCATAAACTCGGGTCGTTTTGTGGAGTTTTCAAAGCTCTCAACCCTTTTGACTGCTGGGTCCTATCGGAGACGCGCTTTTCCCTTTCGTCAACCCGCAGCCACCTCCCAATCGTCAGCCACCCCCAACCTTTGACACGGGTCAAACTTCCA